CAAGTAGCCAGAACTAGCTACCATGCCTGGCTAATTTTTTGATTTATTGTAGAGATGAAGTTTTGCCAAGTTGGCCAGGCTGTTCTCGAATCGATGGGCTCAGGCAGACCACTCACCTCGGCCTCCCAAAGTGCTGGGATTACAGGCTTGGGCCACCGTGCCCGGCCTCTTGTGAGCTTCTTAAAACAAACTTGTAGAGCAATTAAAAGAGTTTCAGCATTTCAGAAATGAAACTGAAGCTCAAAATATTTAGGAGATTTGCTTAACATCATAGCATGCAAAGATAGATCCAAATTTAGAGCCCAGATCTTCTAAGTCTTACAAAGTACCAGGCAGGACATTCAGAGAAGAACAGAACGAAAATGGCTCTAAGCTGTAAGCAATGACCTGAAAGAGGAATGTCTCTAAGGCTCAGGTGATGACATGTAGGGAAACCAGCATATTCAGGCAACTTCCTGTCAGGTGAGTCACAACCATATACTTGGAGCTCTCAGAGACCACAGCATAAATGCACTAATTTTTTTCAGCCTGAGTTTGCTATTATGTGGAATCAGCTTTGGGAAACCCAAACATTTAACCCTAACCAATTGATTTAATGCATGAGTCAGTCATCTTTGGTTGTTCCCTCCACATTCTGCAGATAAATCATTCAAAGTCAAATTACATAACAAAAAAAAATCACCTATATTATGCATTGTATGTGTGTATATACATACCTGTTCTAGACATACAGACACATACATAACCAAAATTAGCAACTTTCTTATAAGACTGTGTTTTGGGGGCCACACATGACAACAAATTTTATAATTCACAGGTACATTTACATAAACATTATTCAACAAAATGTATATAATATGCCATATTCTTAGATGACACATAGTATGCTTTACTCCATTATTTACAAAATATAGTTAATAAAGAATTTTATGGGCAATAGATGATCCTTAAAGTATCAGTAATAACCAAGAAATTTTGATTACCTTTAGTAATTTAGCTACAGAAAAAGAAAATTTCATAATTGTCACAAACTTGTCCAGTAGTCCCAGGCCCATAGTTTGTTTTCAAATAGTGAGTTATAAGTAGTTGAAAACTACACACTGTGTCAGGAGTTTACTTGTGTGTTGACACTTTATTAGTGAATGTAGTCATTCCAGATGTCATATAGAAACCACTATTTTTCTTGAAATTTGCACAGAAATATTATATTTTACTATCACATCTTCTTTGTCTGCTTCTTCTTTCCTCCCTTAGTGTAGAAACAAGGAAGTAAAGACCTGGAGTTTGGTAACCACTGTGAGCACCTCTTATAGTTGCAGAAGTCAAACATGACTTGTATTCATCTTTTATTATTGGTATATATTGAGTACTACAATTTAAATACAAGTTTTCCTTTCTTAAAATGTATAAAGTTTATTACCCCCTGTATACGCACATATGTTTTATGTTCAGATATACATGTATATTTAAGTTTTACAAAGTTACCTTATGAGCAGACACATGAGAATATAATGTATTATGCAATTAGGTGGGTCTTTGTGATTAAGTATTTGATAATTATCTTTTTAGATTTATGCCGCTCATATATATTAAAAATACAGTCAGTGGGACTATTAAAATGAAATTTTAAAGGTTGATTTGAAACACTCCTTGTTTCCACTATTCTTTGACTTATCAAGAGAACTACATGGTCTCAATGTGCTAAGATTAAGCAGGAGGTGAATTGCTATGGGAGTGAGAGTACAGGATTGGAAACTCATCCGGTAATTGAACTCTTATGTTTGTGGGGGCTGGCAGTGAGGCAGGTAAACTCTGTTTAGAAAAACACCTGAGGCTGCTCCATGAGTAAGTCTTATGTATAAGTGTGCTCACACACACATATAATGCAGACTCTGGTTCATTCTATCTAGAAAGGATCCCAAGGTGCTACTACTGCTTCTGCCTTGCCACTTGTCTGTGGATCACACTTTGATTATTCATCCTTAGGCTGGAATCTGGTGTTGTGGTTTTCTTTAGCTCTTTATATAACTTCTCATAAAGATGTGAAATCTTCTCTAGGAAACAACTGAGTTAGGTAGGTATACATGAGGCTATGTCTTCTCGTCTCTAGTTTTGTCACCACAATTCTACAGCTTTATTTTTTTTTAAATAGAAATTAGGGCAACCCCCTCGGGTCCCCTCCCACTGTGGGAGCTTTTCTGTCCTCTCAATAAACCCTGCATTAAAAAAAAAGAAATTACAGAGCAAGACACCAAGACTAATGTACAGTCTCCTATCATGACGCATATTTATGCCATAGATCATAAGAATACAAAAGTAAGCATAGATTCCCCAAAACACTTGTTTTGTGAAACACTTTAAGGCAGTGAAGGTAATGTTTTTGGGGACAGTCAGCCAAACTCCTGTCACTGGATCACCAGAATTACAAACCTCCCTTGTCTCCTGTTGCCATTTCAGATTATTCAGGGCCACAGATTCACTGAGAGAGGATTTATTTTTTCTTGGCCATTTCACTTTCTCATTGCCAACCATCTACTGTGGTTTCCAACGAATCAAGTTCTCTTTCGTCTCCTCCTCTGAAAGCTCATGCACCCAGTAAAATATCACAAATAAAGTGGAAACATGCCTTTCCCAGGATGGACTTATAAACAGAAAGCAAAAGCGCTATTCTTCACCAGGAAACTGACCCACAAAGCTTACTGGATTTAGTTAAAGAGATTGAGAAGAGGGTCAGCTAAGAAAACAAAGGGAATTCTCTCCATAGTTACTTTTGAGGCGCTCCACCAACCCAAAAATAAACTCTTGTCCAAGGCAAGGAAATAAAAAATGAGGGCATATTAGGTGAGAAGTGGTAAGGCAATTGGGTCTCATAAGTGACTTATTTGAGGGCTCTGTTTGTCTATCTTCTCTTTCTGAGTATATAACCAGTTCCGTGTTTATTCTCTTCCATCACAATACCTATTTTTATACTGTTATGTCTACTACTAAAGTGTAATGCTAAAAACTCCCTTTCTCTTGAGCCTTAGACATACAGAAACACATATGAATTACAAACGGATATATATGTAATGTGACTGCCTCTCAGAGGCATAGATCTCTATGCATATACTGTATGAAAATATAAGAATATTTGTATTCTTCTGAATTACCATTTTCAAGCTTATCTAAATCTTAGATAATTTTATCTTAAGATACAGATGATGCTGACTTAGAAAGACCTTACAAAGTTTACCGACATTTAAATTAAACATTTACACAACCAGGTTATCAACTGTATCATCCTCAGTCTTACAATCAGTGAAAAAACATATTGCTAGGGGTAGCATAAATTTATTTGCAGTGCTTTACCAGTAAAGGGTTAAAAATGCTAGGAAGTATGAATGCTAGCAGTTGAAATGGCATGCTTGTGTGTTTGCAAAAATATTTTCTGCATCATGTCCAAATCCCTTTGCAAACAGATAAATTACTCTATAAATCTTATTACTCTGTGTGGATAAATCACACATGCAGGTTTATAAGGCTGAAGAGCTGGAATGGAAAATCTGCTTTGGATAGTAGGATCTTTGGGATTCATAATCACCCAGTGCTCAGGAAATGAAGAAACGAGTACTCACACATTCACATTTTCTTACTTTTTACAATCTGGAGCAACGCACACACACACACAACACACGACACACGATACACACTTTGCTCTCTAACAAGGCTGGAGATCCCCAAGCAGGACACTTGGTGACAGCCAACCAAATTTATTTCTGAGAAAAGGAAAGACAACTTTGCTGCTGTCGGCAGCTCTGCAAGAGAACTGCTCCCTGATGCCCCAGGGTTTATGCACAATCAGCTCCTTGCACACAGATTAGAGGTTTATTTTCTATCCTACACTGTTTTTATTGCCACAACAAGCAATATTAGCTAGATAGACAGACCGACACTAGGTCATTTTATTTGGAGGAAAATGAGATTTTAAAAGGTCTCCAAGGAGAGCATCTTTTTTTTTTTTTGGTTAGTATCTGCCAGAAATTTAAGGAAAGCTAGAAAAAAGGACAAGTGGTAGGTAGTGTTGGTGAAGGAGAAGAGAAAAACACAAGAAAAGAATCTTGGAGCTTTTTAGAAATAAAATTAAGACCAGGTCCTGCTGAAGTGTCTCTCGCTCCCTGTCCCTTATAGGGGTCAAACTCCCAAGGACTTGGGACTCTTCCTTTCCAAATTTCAATCTCAAATTTTATTTCAGAGTTTGGCAGAGCTGCATAGAAATAAGACTTTGAAGTCAATAATCAATTTGAAATATCAATTTTATGCCAGATTAATCTGGTCCAACCTCTGTGTTTAACATTTCCACCCTTAAATACCAGCAATCTGGCATGTTCAGTATTTTTTTCTTCTCATTTTTGTGTTGATTTATATCCACTTTCCAGAAAAGAATCAGTAACCAACCAAAGTTTTAAGATTGATTGATTGCCCTCCATGTCAATTAGAAGAGCCTTACAGAAAGTCTTCTATCAGAACTACTGCTAAGGCAGAGTGAAAGCCTTGATGTGCGTGAACGCGCGCGCGCGCGCGCACGCGCACACACACACACACACACACACACACACACACACGATGCAGTACTGTGTGCCACTCCGAGAGCCATAATTCCACAACCCTTCTTTCCGAATTAAGGAACCCTAACAAAACTCTGAAGCGCTAAGCAACAGCAATTACAACAGCAAGAACATACTGCTAAGAAGTCACTAATGCCAGGGGTGAAGTCAGGCTTCCTTGATGAGAGAAACAGGGTCCTAAGAACACATTTAACCAGCACCACTGGTCCTTGACAGGAACCAGTATTCCCTTGAATTTTGTTGGCTGGTACATCCACTAGTCAGTACACACACACACACACACACACATACACACACACACCCCACAAGCCTGCAGCAAGGGAAACTGGAGTCCAAGGAGATTAGGTATACACACACAGACACGCGCGCAGCAGAAAAGTTGCCCGAGAGCCCTACCTGAGGATGGCCGTGTCCCCCTGCCTCACGGTGATGTTGTCCGTGCCTCGATTAAAATCCACGCTGCGAACGGGCAGTCCTGTGGGAAGAAGGCAGAGCAGTCTCAGTAGGACCAGCGGCAACTGTTTCCGATCAGGCTGAACTCTCCCGACCATGGTGGCCACGCCGAGGTGGGGTCCGCGCTGTGCTCCGAGGGGCGTGTGCGCGCTGCCCGCCGAGGACAGGGCTCTACACCCAGGGGGCTTTCACCAGCCGCGAGGGCAGAGCGGGCTCTCCCAGTTTGTGGTTCTTTCCACTTTGCCTCGCTCTCTTTCCCTCGCTCAGTCTCTTTTCCCTCTAAGACTCAACAAAGCCCTCCTAAAACCCACGCAGAAAGGGGGAAAAGTCAAAGCAACAAAATTTCAAAAAAAGAGTGCAAATATAAAAGCTTCTAGAAAAGGTGAAGAGGAAGCCAGAGGAAGGGGTTCTTGCTTGGTCTCCTTGCGGCCGGGTGCTCCTGTGCGAGTGTCTGGGCTGAGCTCCTTCGCTCTGTAACCCACTTTCCCAGGCTGGCGGGCGAGGGAGCCGGCTCCAAGCCTGCCAGTGAGTGTAAAGAAACAGCCACACAGCAGCGGCGGCAGCAGCCCAGAGTCTCTCTCCCCCTCCTCCCTTTCCTGTTTCTCCCTCCAGTCCCTGGCGCTCTCTCTGCTCAGCACCTCCCCCCACCCCACACACACCCTGCTGGCTTTCAACAGCCCCTCCACGTCATCCCCTCCTCCCGCCCCTCCGCATGGCCCCTCGCTTTGCACAACTGCCCCCTTCAGCAGCCGCCAGCCTCAATGAACGGCTGATGCGCCTGTGGGTTGTCAGGACGACAGCTCCATCTGAGGCCTGGCTGATTTCCTTAAGAAGGGGGAATGGAGCTTAGAGGTACTGCTCAAAAGAGAGGGAAGACTGAGAGGGACCGGCTATAAAAGAACAGGAGAAGGAGTCCAGGAAAGGAGAGGAGAAGGGGTGAGGAAAGAAAAAGGAGATGGAAAGGAAGGATGCAAACCCTCACAAATGGAGGGACTGAAAAGGATAGAAAAGCATGGGGGGTGAGGGGAATCCTGAAAGATGGGATAAGGAAACAGAGAAGAAACTTGACAGTCGAGTATGAGATCAAAAGCCAAAGTTGACTTCGAAACATTTCTGGTAACTGGCCTGGGATACTCCCATCTTGTTCATTCTTTCCTCTCTCCTGCACTTTCTTTTACGGAGATTAAAATGGTTTATTCTCTCTCCTTCCTTCTTTCCCCCCCTCCTTGGACCCCCCTCCTCCCCTCCCCCCCTTATGAAAGATGGATCAGAGACAATGCTAGTATTGAGTGGTCTGGGGTGTGAATGCTTGGCTTGTTTTTTTCCAAGTGCCAGCCTCAGCAGCTGATTCCTGATCCCTAAATCAACCTTACTCTCCAGGAAACCCTCACTCCATCCCACACATGAGTAATGGTATTCAGGATTATTATTTAAATGGCACATTGCAGTTGCTACACAAGTTCCTACCAGCACTTCCGTCTCAAAATGTTCATAAGCAGGGATGGAGATCTGTATATCAGAAAGCTTGTCATTTACAGGGAGATGCTAAGGCTGCACACAGTAGTCCAGTGGATGGCAGACAAGTTACCATCATTTGCATTCTTTCTACTCCTTGAGCCAAGCAAGTGATGAGGACCATCGGCGACTAACATTGTTAGTTACTCAAGTGAGAGTCCAGACTTGTAGACATCTCCCTCAGGACTGGTGCTGAGGATGAACCAGCCAAAGGACATTTTTTCCCTCTTTTAAAATTTGGTTTTAGGCCGGGCTTGGTGACTCAGTCTATAATCCCAGCACTTTGGGAGGCCGAGGCAGTGGATTACCTGAGCCCGCCAGCAACTTGCTGAGACCTCATCTCTACAATAAATCAAAAATTAGCTGGGCGTGGTAGCACACGCCTGTAGAAGGCTGAGGCGGAAGGATCACCGGAGCCCAACAGGTTGAGGCTGTGGTGGCCGGGAGCATGCCATTGCACTCCAGTCTGGGTGAGAGTGAGACTCCAACCCCTTCCCCAAAATTGTATTTACTTGAATAGTTAAAGCATTTTCATAATGCAAAAACCAAATAGTACAAGGTGCTAAAAAGTGACTTGTACTTTTCTTTAGGCAACCCATTTCTCCTATCTGGAAGGCAACAAATATTTTGTTTTTTATACATCTTTCCATAAATATTCCATAATATACAAGTAAGTATATATATATACACACAGATATTATAGCTATCCCTCTTATTTAAGCAAATGTGTAGCCAAGGGTGTTTGTCAAAAGAAAGAAAGAAAGAAAGAAATTTGTTTAGGAATCCTTACCAAACCCCACCAAAACACAGGCCCTGAAGAAGTACTTACTATGCTGACATCTGTCTTGCCCCCAGAATATTCAAAAGTTTTCTCTACTGCATTTTATCAGTTTAAAAGGTAGATGACTCTTACAGACGATATGAAGTAAGGAAGGAAGACCTTTTGTTTTTAAGAAAAGACTGAAGGATTGGAATCTGAATTGTCACAAATTCATGATTGATGGAGTTCAATTAATTTTGTTTGTACTGTGCGCTCATTTTGTATAAATCATGGTATCTTATGTCAGGGCTTATCAGCAGTTCCCAATTAATAAGGCAGTGATGTCACATCGCTATGTTGTAACTCAGATGTTTAAAACTTGGAACTCATTTTGTCACAGGAAAAATGGTTAGCCCAAGTAGTTAGTTAAGCTACAAAACTCAATTAAGCCTCAAGTGCCAAAAGGAAGCACGAGAATAATATAACTTTAGGGCAAGATTGTACAGTGATCAAAAGAGCACCCTCCTTTTCCCCATACCACCCACAGACTTGACCATCCATACATCCTTCAGTTGAGTGGTGTTTCTCCATTGTCAAGAGGAACAAGAGACTGGGAGCTACTAGAATCATCTATTTCCATTGCTTGTACTAGGTGGATAGTATGTCTCCAGTGAGATCCTGGTTACTCTGAGGGGGAGGATTAGACTTATTAAGAGTATGAGTATCCTCCTGTGTCAGTGGACCAGATATGGTATAAATAAAGGAAGAGATTTTTGGGGGATAAGGAAGAAGTACGGTGAGATAGCAGCATATCATTTGTAGGAGATGCTTATATGTGATTGTTAACTAATACCTATACTGGCAATCTCAAACTACTTGTCTGGTGGTGCTTGGAGAAAACACGTTTAACATACTGGGGTACAAAATAATTCACACCAAAGTAGTATGAAGGTGGAATTTGGAGTAAATCAATCAGTTCTGGAGTTTGTCTCTACAATCACACTGAGAAAAGAATATATTAGGTTAATCAGGCTTGTAATCAGAATTGTATTAGAAATGCCTAACCTACCTAACAAGATATTATCAAAAGTACATATTTGTGTTTCAAAATAATATGCTGTAATTAAAAGTTTTAAAAATATTTTTATTAAACAAAACCCATTTTCTGGTAACTATTGTTAAAGTAAATTGACTGTGAGAACACAAAGTATAACACAATTTTTAAAAAATACAATATTTTATTAGGAATTCTCTAATTTAGACAGTTTCATGATTCTTACTAAGTAAATTAGATAGAATCTCTCTTCAAAATTATATACTACATAAGTGAATGATTTATTGTTATTTATATCCAAGTAGTACTTCAAGTACAACTCTGCAACCCAGCCTTTGGAGGGAGTTATCTAAATGTGATGAATATAAGAACAGAAGAGTGATTGAATGACAAAGACACTTATTTGACTTACCTCACCATTTACAAAATAATACATCTATTTTTGGGTCCATTAACACTTCCATTTCAACATTATGCTCTCTCAGAGCTCTTCCAATTTTCACTCTCTTATAGAATCCTTCTAGTTTGTTCTCCTACATGATCTCTTGCTTTCCAATAAATCCAATAGTCTATATACTTTGGATAACATATCTCATCCTAATGGTCACTCTCCCAAATCTACCCTGATATTAACTTCTCTGCTTGTTTTCTCAAGAAATGTAGAGAGCGAAACAAATACATGAATTCCTGAAATTTATACAAGCTATTTTTCTGTAAACCACTATATACATTCTTCCAAGAGAGTTGGCAAAAATGAACATACTTTCGGGTTATTTGTGAGGCAAGTATGGCTGTTAGCCATGTGAAACAGCCATCATCACCCAAGTAAGATGATCTTAACTACTACTTTAAAATAACATACTGCCTTTCTAAAAGAGGCTTTAGAAGATTCTGGCACTCTCCAGGGACAAATGCTGCAGGAAAAACAAAAAAACTGGCTAACGTCTGAGTACCCTAAGAAGTAAGAAAGGTTTATGCTTCTGTTTAGCTTTGTAAGGTAGTAGACTCATGGAATCCAGATGCAGCCTGGAATGTACGTTTAGCTCCATTGCTTGCATTTTATGCTAAACATGTCTATAATATTAATATACTACTCTACAATTCTACAGTTGTGAGATCTTAATCATAATAACGCCATGCCTGTACTTTACTTTTGTAAGTGGAATTAGCATTTCCATATGAACTAGAAATGTAGAATCATTAATACTTTTCCTTAGGATCCCTGGTATGACATTCTCAATTATTTCATCATAATTTAGCAATATTCAAGTCTCCCAGTTTATGCTCAGAAGCATGCCACTGTCTCGTGTGAGTTTTCTCTGGAATCTGGCTCCTTTAAATACAGAAACTTGTTTCACGTATGTCTCACTGCCTAACAAAATCAGTCAGCTTCAGGTCAGTTACATATTGTCCAAATCCTTACTATAAACTCTTTCCCATGCCCCTAGAGATGTAAAACACTCAGTCCACACCCTGTACAATTAAAATCACTCATTAGTTTGCTTTTAGTGCATGGCTTTGTGCTTCATTGTCACAGTATCGGTCTTCTGGTTCTAAGTATCCTTTGGTCACTTGTTCTATTTTGGTAGGCTTCAATGCTTGGATCTGTTCCAGTTTTCACAAGGTCTTTGAGACTCTTGAACTGCTATTTACATCCTCAATCTTTGCTTCTGTTCCAGATTACCCATAAACATACATGTACTTACACTTATTGATACATTTGCATACCAGCAAACATATTTTCATGTGCCTTGTTATTTCACAAAAATGCATTCACTAGCCCTTCTCTTGTCTTTGTTGTCCACTCTGCCACCATGTTCAAGGAGGTGGCAATGGCCAAGCAATGCCATATCTGTGTTGCTGCTGCTCTTGTTGATCTTCCCTTCACATATGAGAAAAGCATAGCAAAATATTAGCACCAGCAGGTAATCAAGAAATTCTACCCTCTATTTTTGGTTGTTATAGTGACATGGGCTCCTATGATCAGAAAATAGGCCAAGGAGAAGTGAGGAAGAGTGGAGGTAGGTGTACAATTCCAAACTCTGACATGACCAGTAGCTTTATGAATCATTTATTCATTCAATATGCTTTTATTGATATGGTAGTGAATCAAGACAGACTAAGACTCCACTGTATTCAACTTGTATCCTAGATACAGAAATAGACACTAAAGTAAATATATATTAATATCATCTCATAAAGTAAATGCTATGGAAAGTAATATGTATGATACAGAGTAAATAGTCTGGGGATGCGGTAAAG